CTAACGATAAACGTAAATAATGCAATACATCTGGAGATGTTTTGTACTGGATACAAGTTTTTTTTCCTTGCCATTTAGCTGCAAATATATTACAATGTACGTAAATGCTATACTGAACAATTCTAGTAAACAAATACACATGTAGATCAGGGTGATAAGTCCTTAAGATACGCAAAAAACGTTTTCATATTTTTTAATTAAAGAGAGCGCAAAGATTACTTTTCATCATAAAGCAACACTTTCTTATGCTTCTTTTACTTTAAAATTCACTCCAATGAATGAATTTTTTTTTTTTAATCATGAGTGTGTTAAAAAATAAATGTCCAAATCCTTTCAATCAAAATAATAATAATAAAATTTAAAAAAAAAACCATAAAAAAAAGAATTTCTTTGATATGCTGCTCATTCATTTTTAAAGAAGAATTTCATTACATATTTGAATATCAATTCACATCAAAGTGGTTTTTAAAAGTATGTCAAATATTGAATGGGAGAAAATGGAGAGAGAGAGAGTGTAGATCAAAGGAAAGGAATTGAAATGTTAAATGTAGCAGGATGAACTGAAGAATGTAAATCCTCATGGTTGCAGTAAAATTTAATTTAAAAAATTGGTTATCAAAAAAATCGAAGTCAGACACCCCTATTTTTTTTTCTTAAACCCTAACTGCCTACCATATTACCACTTTAAAAAAGAAACCCCAAAAATCTATTTAGGTAACACCATATTATGATCTGAGGGTGGAGTGGGTGAATTTTCACATGTTCAAAGCCGAAACTGCTGGAAGTCCGTGACGTCATATTTGACACTAATGCCCACAAATGCACTAGGGGTGGCTAAAACCCGGAAAAACCCGTGGAAATGTCGTAAACACCATTTTGCTTTGAGAAACTGATTTAACGTCAATGAGTTAAATACCGTTCACGGTAGCTCAGTCGGTAGAGCGCTCGCTTCGTGATCGGGAGGTCATGAGTTCGAATCTCGGCCGCGACTGACCTAAGTCGATAAAAAATGGGTAGCAACTGTTCCTTCGCCATGCGCTCGGCACTTTGAAGTGAAAGTTGCGGGTCCTTCGGATGAGATCTTTAACCGAGGCCCCGTGTCACTGCAGGCGTTGGCACGATAAAGATCCCTCACTGCTCAATGGCCCTGAGTGCCGAGTAAAGGTCAAAATTTGAAGCCCTTCATCGGTATATGGTGACGTCTCTATATGAGTGAAAAATTCTCGAATGGGACGTAAAACAACATACAATCAATGAATGAGTTAAATCCCATCAAATTATTCATGTATTAAAGTAAGCAAATATCAACTTTTTGTCATAATTTTTTTATTTGAATCATGCCATTTTCATGTGACTTTGTCAAAAAATCGTTCAATATTCAATTACCAATAGGAAATTTTCAGGTGGATGTACTGTGCATTTACAATATCCAGTTCAAAAATTCCTTGGCATCCTCTTGCTTTCAGTAAGTTGTTGAAATCATGCTATTAGGAATCATCATCTTATCAAAATTAAGAGATATAATTTGTATGTTTCATTAAGTTTTCATATAATGATATCAATGAAAATGATTTTCATATTATGATATCATATAATTTGTATGTTTCATTAAGTTTTCCGGGATCTATTGGCTGGTGTAATAACCAGTTCTAAGATTTCAGTGCATTGATTTTTTTTTAACAATTATTCATTTCTCTTTCATTTAATCTATAAGGTGTAAAATGGAGTGATTTTGCACATTGGCTATTAAAAATATTTAAATCAATTGAGCTGTACTTTTTTAATATGTGCGATTGAGATAATTTTAAATGTAACTTAAATCTTTATTATCAATAAAACTAAAACTAAGCATTAAATTTTATCAGAGTAGAAATGGAATGTATATTTCATTTATTACATGTATATATTGATAAGATCAATTTTTGTGCGAAAATAATATAATTTTGGTTCATTTATCTGAATAGTTTTTTCCCAATGGAAATATGAATACCATAAGTTTATAAACCTTCATTTTTTTTAATATCACTAAAGATGTCAATTTTTCCGACACAAAATTGCAGCTCAAATTGCTTTATGAAACATGATAATTCGAATCATCAAGAAAATTACCAAGAGTACGCAGCAATTCAGGCCTCAACCTTCTTAGTCACTTCCAGATTACTTTTTCCAGAAAAAAGCAAAATATTTTTGTTATAATTATCACGTACTTTTTAATTGATATCTCCATTTTGGAATAGTCGGAGAGTTGGAAGATTAAAAAAAATTCAACGGATCGAATTTTTAGCTCTTCAGTTAAAGAACCATTTATCCTGCCTAGATTCAAAAACTATCTTAGAGTCACAGTAAATGGTATGGTATTATATCTGCGTGAACAAGAGGTGCATTTGGAGGAATATAATGATTTGTTGATTTCCTTCAATAAGAAACCCCATATTGACAAGTATACGCTAGGAAACCCCAAAACTTATTGCTGGTCACGGCGTTAAGCGTTATTGGAGCTCCCGCATGACGTTTGGGTCATAGTCGTTAATTTCCTCTCTCTGGAGCGACATCTACTAGAATATGGATGAATTTCCTACTCCTCCTCTGGAGATAATCTCAGTTGTCAGGGTTTCATTAATCTTATGTTTAATTCAATCTTTGTGCTGTTAAGTTTTCAAAAGGTTCTGTATCCAACTTTAATCAATATATAGAGGGAAATCTGTCTTTTAACTTTATTGAAGCATGAATTCAACTTTCGGGAAATCCTAAGTTTGTTCCTGGATTTTTCTTTGATCTTCGATGATTTTAATCCACAAACACAAGAATATCTAATTACTGTAATACCATGTGAAAATCAAAAGAAATTAACGGTCTTTGGTTTTAAACCTAAAATTAAATTAGACATGTGCTGCTGTGCACATTAACTTGCACGAATGGGCGTCATTTAGAGCACAGAAAAAAGCAAAGAAAGGAGAGCACATAAATACATCACTTGCAATTTTTTTTTTAAAAAATCAGTTCTTGATATAATGGTTTTCGGATAAGAGTTTTTTTTTTTTGTGGTTTCAAACGCCCCCTTTTCCTCTTTTTTTTTAAATACAGTAGATGAGTCCGTATCAAATTTCAGTCATACAGTACAATTATTTGGACTATAATATTGATTGGAATTGCTTTAAACTGTTACCCTGAACAAGAAAATATGTCATAGCCTTCTGTCTACATCATATCTCAAAGAAATGATCATTTGTTTTGGTAAGAAAATATACATGCATCCGCCTTTTGTTAAGACAAAGATCGAGGATGTTGTTCAAAATCTGCTTTATTCGAAATGTCATACAGAAATACATGTACATCCCGTTTGAAGACATAATGGATGTCACAGTGGGCTTAACTTTGAGATATGACCTTTGGCAAGCTGGATAATATTTGGCTATAAGTTCTTAAAAAAGAAAGATGAAAATGTGAAATGTTTACAGACAACATACGACAGACATACAAACGAACAGCGAAAGCTCACTTAAGCCTGTGGTTCAGTTGAGCTTAAACCTGGAAAATCGATCAGAAAAGTATATATGTTAGATGAAACCTTCTACATTTAAACAACGCTCACCAGAGTCTCTATGACCCTACTATTCATCAGTAGATTTATTACTATATATTCCTATATTTAACTTTGATCATCCATTTTGGCCCCTCTGTATCCCCAGGGTCATGATTTGAATTTTATGAAGATTTCGTAAGGGTTTCAACTCTTCTGTGCCAGTTGTTCCTGGGAAGAAGGTTTTTAAAGATATTTTCTAATATATTCCCATGTAAAATTTTGATTGCCTATTGTGGCCACACCCTTCCCCTGAGGGGTCATGATTTAAACAAACTTGATACTACACTACCTCAGAATGCTTCAATATCAATTTGACTTTTCATGTCTTGGCTGTTCTAAAAGACGCTTTTTCCCCTTTATATTCCTATATAAAACTTTAATCACCCATCGTGACCTCACTCTACACCCCAGGGATCATGATTTAAACAAATTTGAATCTCAACTATGTAATGTTTCTTCCACATAAGTTTCAACTCTTCTATCCAAGTGGTTCTTGAGAAGATTTTTAAAGATTTTTTCGTATTTATTTTTTTTATGTTGATCGCCTATTGTAGCCCTACCCTATCCCTGGGGGTCATGATTTGAACAAACTTGAATCCGCACTACCCGAGGATACTTCCACATAAGTTTCATTATTTCTTGCCCAGTGGGTCTTGAGAAGAAGGCTTTTAGAAGATGCCATTAATTTTTACTACATGTAATTCTTAATGATTTCCTCTTGGAATGGGGCGTGGTCCTTCAATATGAACAAATTTGAATCTCCTTAAGCCACGGACACTTTGTGGCAAGTTTGATTGCAATTGGCCAAGTAGTTCTTGAGAAGAAGTCGAAAATGTGAAAAGTTTACAGACGGAGAGACAAATGTGATCAGAAAAGCTCATTTGAGCCTTTGGCGCAGGTGTGCTACAAAAAAAAATGTGAAAATTACATAATATTTAAAATTCTTGCTTAATATCAAAATTCTTTTACACATGCTTATTGGTTTTGTACAATGAACAAATTTAATTCTCTTTAATACACACTTACTGTAGAAAATGACATAAAAATAATTTGTTTTGATCTTGTGATAGACTATTATATTCTTCGCAAAGATGTTGATAGTTCAGTTTGCCTGATATTTCCAAATAAGTGCGGAATATTTGAGAAAATGGGTATAATTAAAAAAAAAAAACAGGTATTTTTGAAAATTGAAATTGTGACAGATTGTAAATTTGATCTTTATATAAGTAAATTTTCGAGATTTGGCGTTGAAATATATTTTGTTGCATGCATTTCTCGTGTGCGTTGAATTGTATCATTGTGCTTTGCAGATAGATGATAGTCGTCACAGTCATCCAATACCTTGTATTTTTTTCCCACTATACCATTTTTGTTTCGTTTCTTCTACAGGTATGTTTTTGTCTTGACAAACACCAGGATGGGATTGTCGCTAGATGAATACAGTAGGTGGTATGGAAGGTGGCACGGATGTCTAAGCTTAATCGTTTGCTGCTTTGGAATTCCGACAAACATCATCAACATTACAGTCCTCACCAGAAAACACATGCACACTCCAATTAACACCATTTTGACATGGATAGCGTTTTTTGACATCGTAACTATGGTGGCGTATTTGCCATTTGTTATCCATTTTTACATTGAGTTTCCGACTAATTCGCTTTCTCCAGAAAAGAACAGTCATGGATGGATGAATTTCCTGTTGTTCTACATTAATCTATCCACATTAACTCATACAATTTCTATCTGGCTCGGAGTTTCATTAGCTATCTTTCGCTACGTCCATATTCATTCACCGGAAACTGGAAGTTTGACACACATGCGCCGTATCACGCATTGTCGAATTGCTGTGTCTGTAGTGATATTTGGATCAATTCTTCTTTTGATTCCAAACTATATGTCTTCTAAACTGGTGCCCTTGGAGAGAAATGGCACCATACTTCCGAAAATAAAAGTTCTGGATGACCCACGCCTTGGAACACCTAATGTAAAAGTGGGCGTATTTATTAGTTTCATTTTATATAGCATCATTGCTAAGATAATCCCTTGTATGTTAATGATGATTTTTGGAGCATTGTTGCTCAAGACTCTAGATAACCATGGGCGAGTGAATCGCAAAAAGCTGTCCAAGTTGGGCGTCGTTATGAATCGTCCTTTGAACACGTCACGGACCACTGTCATGTTGCTCATAGTAATGGTGCTTTTCTTAATGACGGAACTTCCGCAAGGGATATTACTCGTGCTAAGCCTGACTATTCAGGATTTCTTTGATACCATTTACATCCCTCTTGGGGATACAATGGATATTCTTGCCTTAATAAACAACAGCATTAATTTTGTTCTGTATTGTTCTATGAGCATAGAATTTCGCCGCACCATTTCAAAATGGATACGCCATTGTTTGAGAGCGAGCAGTTTAATAAATGAAAACCAGAATGATTTTGAAGTTAAAAACAAGAATTCAGCGGAAGCAAAGAAAACCAAAACTAGCAATTCAGCCGGAAATACCACCACAGATGAAATGCAGATAGGACTGCCTTTAACAGGATGTAGTGAATCTTACAGCGTAGCAGAAATTAACAGCCCGTGCTGCAAGTCAATATCAGACATCCAGATTAATGGCGAGATACTGTACAGTCAGATCTCAACGGAGGCTGAGAGCGAGAAACTGATATATGAAGAAAATAATGAGATATCCGAGACTATTCCACTGGCACAAACTGCTACACATTCCTGTTCTACTGCCGTGTAAACCTACACTCCGCTGACTTGCTGTTTTTATGTACACTAATATACATAAAATCAATCAAGACATTTTTAATACATTTCAGTTTTTAATCAGAAAATTAAATTCAGCTGAAATACAGAAACTCTAATGTTAAAACTTTCAAACGGTGATCGATGCTGAGAGTCACGTTGATTTAATTAGTGTAAATCGGGTTTGGATTGATTAAGAAAATCATTTTCAGAAGGAAAATTTTAGACTACGGGATATATTCTTATAATATTTATATTCAGATACCCTCCCGTTTTAACGATTTGTTCCTTTGTATTGATGCTGTAACATCCATTCTCCTTATTTCAGATAACGGCATAAGCTTGTAGTGCATTCACCCATTGTCCATTTCTTTTATTCAATCAGTCTACACTGTTTAATAGAAGCCAATATTACTTCCTTCACAGTTACATATATGTAATAAAAGAAAAACCGGTTGATCATAATCTGACTGGGAGATACCAGTATACTCAATAATTGAGTCTAATATGAAATAAATTATACTACGCGTGACAAGCTAATTTTCGGTTCCTGTTGATAAATTGATATCTCTTTTATTCTGTCTAGAATTTCAGACTGAGATTATGTAATTAGGTGATCAATGATGAGAAACATATATTTCAGAAATATTATGATAACTTTTAATAGTATATGTCCATCTCTTCTCTCACTTATTGTTACATGATAATACACATAAGGATATATGTAAATACTTATACGGGCAAAAAAACAAAACAAAACAAAAAAAGCAACTACTTTATAGCAATGTGACAATGTATACTGGTTATTCCACTTCATATTTTGCTGCTTGACTCTTAAGTTTGTTATTCTACATTATCAAATTCAAATGTGACAGACAATTACCCGATCTTGGCACATGTATGTTCTAGAAAACTTTAGAATCGTGATGTTTCCATTCTTCTGCGACAGCCATCTTGAAAACATCGGTAATAGTGCCGACCAGTCAGATTTAAAGGAAAATATGGCTGTACTTTTGATAACCTGTATGTATAAAGAAGGAAGAATTCCTAGATCTTTTAAAGGAAATAATAAGTTGTAATTTCAGATGCATATACACTCTCATCTGATTTTCGCATCAAAATTTTTAAGAATCTATTAAGTATTATATTAAACAAATTAAATAACATAAACCTATATACATGTATAGCAAACAAAGTACTAGTAGTCTTTCGCATCATGTGTTACATTTGACACCGAATGCAGTCTATTCAGATCAGCTGTTCACAAATTTAAAAAAAAGTTAGAGAAAAAAAAAATCCGATAGAATATTGTATATTTTTTTCGGAGGGGCAAAGCGAGACAAGTGGCTGGAGTGATGTAGTTTCCATGGCCACCGGAATATGATATTTATGAAAAATTGCATCAGCTGATTCATGAGTTTTTGGCCCCAACTACACAAATATTGTAATTTTTATTACAATCCCTTACTTATCCATCCTTTTCCCCTCTTTTTCATTCGTTATATTCACCTTTTTCGTCCAAATATGTACTTAACAATTCATATTGCATTTTACTTTATAGAGAATCAGGAGCCTAAGATGAAAAAGCATCCCCTGTCTCACCACGCCGTGAGTCCTCTATAACGATTAGGTAAACAGAGTAATCCGTAGTCAAAATCAGTATAAAATTAATGGCCTAACAACTGATATGAAACATGTCAGTAAAAGTTCGACAAAGCAGTAGGCTATATTTGCAAATAAGGTCATTAATGGACTTTTGCGAGAAGCGCTGACTTTTACAAACGACGACTTACTTTTACACTAGGGCATTATACGGAAGCTCTTTTGCGATATAAACATTAAGTTCAAGAGTTTAAACGATGATATTAAATGGGCCATTTCAAAGCAAATATTACGTTTTCTAGGAAGGGATCGGCATCCACCCTACCCTCAACCCCCTCCATTCCCACATTGACTAATTCTTGCTTAGTTTTTCTTCCGATATGTTTTTTCTTCCTTATTTCATTCCTTCAGAAAATTAGATTGAAAGGAGGTTCTAACTCACGAATAAGGTAATTTAAGGTATGTAATTCTGCCTCTCATCATCTCTTACATTGATTGCATACCGGTAAATCATGCTAGTGCCCCTACCACCATACCTTTAACCACTGTAAAAGTCAGTGCTGCTCGCAAAAGTCCCATATGACGTATAGGGTAATTTGCGAAATGCAAACTTTAAACGAGATGTATTACATCCGTTGAAATGAATTCAAAATTTGCTATAACGAATGAAATTCCTTTAAGGGGATTCTAAAATTTGTTTTTAGCGAATTTAATTCGTATAATCGAATGTCCGGAAGCCCATTTAGGCCCATCAAAAAATATTTTTTGAATTCGATATAACGAATTGTCAAAATTGATGTAATGAATTAAAATCGTTATATCAAATTTTTTGAACCCGCTATAACGAATTTCATCTGTTATAAAAATTTTGTTGAATTTGTTATAACGAATTCAAAAATTTGTTACAATGTATTGTTTTAACGAATTCTAAAACCTGTTGTAACGAATTAAGGGGGGCGACTGAGGTTTTCATTGTGCAATACTTCGCGCAGCATAGTAAAATAAAGCGTATTTGCTCTTTTAAAGCAACTATTTTTACATAATTTACAAAAATTAACAAATTTAGGAAAACTAAGGTTAAAAAATCTAATTACATTTTAAATAACTGATTTTTTAAACGATTTTTCAAATGATGGGTAGATAGACGTCGAAATAGCGTGTTCCTGACATTATGACTAACCGAAGTTCTTTAAGCGGGGTCATTAATTATGTCATAAAATAAAAAGTATAAAATAGATGCTCTTGAAATTTTAAACACAGGAAATTGAGAATCTCACAATAATTTTTATTATTTTTTTGTAAATCTGTGGTATCTGTCATGTTTTGTTGTACTCCATAAAAACAGGAAAATATCACGATTTTTGACATTTTGAGATGCCCCCTCTGGAAACCAGACGGTAGAATTTTGTGTTTCTTGCAAAAAATGTACAATATAGTATTACCCATCAAATAATATAATTTGAGCAAAAAGTCTATAGTAGCATTTGTATAATTTGCTCCGAAGTGCAAAAAAATGGTATTTTCCTATATAACCCTATAGTAAATGTACCTGTATTTTGAGATGGTCCCTAAAAAATAACCAGACGGTAGATGTTCACTAAACTTGGCATATATACTGAAGTCAATGTAAGGTATATATGGTATAAAAGTAAAGAGTTTCTCTATAGTAGTTTTCACACAATAAAACCCCAGTCGGCTCCCTTAAATTTGTTGAAACAAATTCTTTAATTTGTCATAATGAATTCGTTTTAAGAAATTAAAGAATTCTTTATATCACATTTATATATATTTTACTATAGACCCTAATTGTGGAATTTGATTAAACGAATTTCACTCGTTATTACAAATTCTAGAATTTGTTATTACGAATTTCATTTGTTATAACAAATTTTAGAATTCGTTTAAACGAATTTAATCTGTTATATCATTTTTAGAATTCGTTATAACGAATTCAACAAATTTATTTCAACAATTTTTTAACAAATTTAATTCATTATAACGAATTTAAAAAAATTCGACAATTCGTTATGTCAAATTCAAACAATTTTTTGATAGGCTCTTACTGGGCTTCCATACGAATGCAACAGTTAGGGCCTATAGAAAAATATTCATGAATTCGAAATAACACATTGTCGAATTCGTTTAAACAAATTTAATTCGTTATAACACATTTAAGTAACCATTTAACGAATTTAATTCATTATTATAACAAATTTAAGAATTCGTTTAAACAAATTTAATTCATAATAACAAATTTTTGAATTCGTTTAAATGAATTTAATCTGTTACAACAAATTTTTGAATTCGTTTAACTTCAAGCCAAATTCTGATGAAATGCATGAATTAAAATAATGATCCTTACTTAAGGAATGATTTTTTTTTTTATTTCAAAGAGTTACATATCAAGTTACATAATGAAATTTTGCTCACATTCTCTCACACATTCACACTTCCCCTCTCTAGTTTTAACAAGAATGAAATAATAAATAAAAAGTTTATCAATGAGATATAATATTCCATTTGAAAAATAGTCACTGTTGGTGTTTTAATAAATGATTACAACTCAAAAATATTAATCCATGGTGACCATAATTTTTCAAAGTTGTTCATTGAAAATTTTTGAATTGATATGCATTTTTCTACTTTGTACATAAGAGTTAAATGATGAAGCAGCCCAGTAATCAGAGGTATTTTGTTCTGTTTCAAACAGGAAAAGATGTATTGCTTTGTATATAGAATAATAAAATTTTTCATCCTATTATGATAAGATAATGGAGTTTCACCAAAAATAATATTACATGTGTTAAACCCAATTCTTTTGGAAGTTTTTGTAAAAATGTGCATGCTAAGATTACTCCACAATGAAGAGATTTTTGTGCAATTCAAAAATATATGTTGCATTGTTTCTATCTCCTGTTTACAAAAAATACAGTGGTCATCAGATAAAATATTTATTTTCTTCAAATGATATTTCACTGGAAGGATTCTATACTGTAACCATTGAACAGAAGTATCCATAGTTGTTCTAAAACAAACCTTAAAAACATCTTGAACACAAATATCAGATTCTAAAAACACTGATAGCTCCTGGTTCCATCGAAATATAGACGTAGGAGTGACATTGTTACTATTCAAATATCTGTAAATTATTTTAGTGCACTTTTCATATACAATAATATTTTCAAAATAAAAAGGAATAAAAAGGGTACATTCCCTCTTAATAGATGATTTATCTATAGAAATTGTTTTTAAATACCTGGATATAGCACATAAAATACTGTTGTATTGCATAATGCAAACTTTAGACAACTGAAATCTATTTTTAAAGTCAATGAGAGTTAAAAAATTTCCTTCATCGTTTAAAAATCACAAACACTTTTAACACCATTTTTATACCAGGTCTTGACAAAAATTATTT